AAGGGAGACATTTTGCATTATTTGGTGCTTGGTGATGTTTAAATGAAAGTGGGACATTAGTTGACAAGATTTATAGTTGGGTTTTTTTTCATTTTAACTGGTTTAAGTGGTAGCTAAGGAAGACGACAGGGGCACATTACCTACTGTGATATAATCTGCATCCGTGATAATTAATTGATGAAAAGAATACATTTACTCAGCAGGTAAGACAGTGACAATAGCTTTGTATTTTATAAGCACTGTTTCTTTGGAAGATGCTGTTCCAATATTTATAATTTATAAGATCTTTATATYTATGTAGAGATATAGGGAACATCTGGTAAAATAGGTTTAACAGATTCATCAATGGCTTATAGAAAAGATGAACACTGCTGCACAGCTGTCKCTTAAAACACAAACAGTTAACAATATACAGCATAAGTTGGTCTTCAGGGTTATGATAGAAGCCTCAGAGTGGTAAAAACTTGTTAAAAACTAGACTAATTCTAAAACTGTTTTGCTCTGTGCTGTTATCAGCCCCTCTATCAGGCACAAGGTCACTATCTTTAGCCTTGCTGGAATTATGTTTTCCTCCCCACCCATCCTTGCCCAGACTGATAGAGACCACTCTGACYGTGTGCAGGGCGTGGTGGGAAGACACCACTGGAGGAATGGATCCTGGTCTGTTCCCAATTCACCTTGGCTTACAACCCCAGAAATACGTGGTCCTCGCCTTGAAGCACATGCTTACTGATTATGGCATCAGAATTTCCCTGTGGCATTCATGGCAAAACTGCAGGAACGGAGGAAGAAAAAAATCCAGGGAGCTTTATGTTGCACTTAAACCAGCAGCATCCTTGACCTAGTTTGGGCAGCACCGAAGCTCTGTTTTGCAAACACAAGTTGCTAATGGCAGTGACCTACAGAACACAACAGGTCCAACATTCCTTCCCTTCTGCCAGCACACCCCTCACAACAGGGGCCGTGGGAGGGGAGGTTTTCAGCCCCGCAATAAACAGAGTGGCACATAATTTCACCCATCACACAAATAATTTAGGAGGTTGCGAGGGGCTGTTTCCTACTGCTCCTTTCTTCTGAGACACCTGGCTATGTAAATGATCTATCCATGTTTCTCTCTAGATATTCAAATACCTCCCTCTCCCAAACAGGTATGAAAACAAATTTACAAAGGTCTTTCAGACCAGCATTTAAATCAGCACTTACCAAACGAATTTTTTACACAATTTCCGACATGAAATTGTAGCCTTATTGTTTAATACCCACAATGCTCAGAAAAAATACTCAGAGCCTGTCAAAAAGCATATTTCAAAGAAAACAAAACCATTTATGTTGTCATTTATCTCCAATTCCTTGCAGCAGCAGTGGGAATTTGCTCAGGAAAAGCAAGGACAGAAACTGTGGGCGACAGCGAGATTTATACTGTTTCAGTCCCTTGTTCAGAGATTCTGTCCTGCCACTTCCCTCCTACGAGATAATTCTTATGAAATCTTATTCTAATTAAACCATGTATTTCTTCAAAATGTAAAGTAATTGCTTTTCTGGTACCATATGATAAACTGGKATTTTCACTGGTTTTAGAAAGTTTATTACTGGCTTGATAAAAACTAGCAACTGTTCACTGTTGATGAATTCCTTATTGCATAGAACCTAGTGTACAGAAGAGCTGAGCAACTGGGTGAAAGCTGAGAGCTGATAGTCTAACTAAGTCTTCTCAACTTCTAATGAGAATGAAATTTACTTTAAATATGGAGATTTATGTAAATACAAATAACACATAATATTATGTAAATATAAYGAATAAAGGTGTGATTAAGAACCAAAAGATGGTGAAGTGTCTATCCTTTCATTAAACTGACTATATTAAAAATGACAGATGAAGCATGGCTGTAGGTGCCAAGACAGGTATTGCTTCCAGCAGCTAAGTGATAWTGATTTCAAATTAAAAAAATGAGGGAGCTGGTGGCATCAGGACATGTGAGACAGCCACAAGACAGAAAAATAGTTCTGTGGAGTGAATGAATGGACACTCGGGTACAATCCTTCTTTCCAGTTTTTTTTCCTGCTGTGCATGTCTGGCAGCAGCATGGGTGCTTGCCAGATCCTCGTAAACCATCACCTCATGAAAGCAGCATAAGGCAAACCCATGAGGAACTGGAAAGCAGCTTTCCAGGCAGGGTAAGTGCTAGGACTTGCTCACCTGCCTGTGGAATCACACCCTGAGGCAGAAGTCAAAGCAAGTTGATGTAGATGATATTGTAGCTTAATGAAAGGAATGCCAAATGTGCATTTGCTAGGACCTGGGATATGACTTTGATCTTGAGATAAAATGATGGACARACTCGGGGGGAATAAAGCAAGAAGAGTCAATGTGACTTGTCTGAAATCTTCACTGGAAAGGAAACCACGGCAGAGTTCACTCAGTGCAGGAAGAAGGTTCTCAGGGAACAGATTTAGATTGGGTGGGTGGGTGAGACAGAGAAGGGGATTAAAATGAAACCAGACTCTCAGAACAGAGGAAAAGAAATTGCCCACAGCTGTGTCAGTAATACATCTTCTCAGGCCAGGCTGAGGTGCAAGTGCTGTTTGGTGGGGTTTGGTGAAACTGCTGAGGACAGCTGTCCTGATGGATCAGTGCACAGGAGCCTGGGGGTGACAGCAGTTGGCTGGGCAGCCACTAACTTACAAACATTTACCCGAAACAGGACTCGTGTCTTCATATACCACTCTTCTCATTGAAATGTGCTTTTGTTTCTCCTTTCCTTCCATTTTTAGCCCTAGAAATCTGCTTTTTAGAGATGATGAAACACCTCTGGTTAACATACTGCCAGACKTATTGTTTCCCAGTATTTTTACAACCTAGATTACAAGAGTGTAGACATGTAGGGAAAAGTATCTTTAGTAAGTCATTCAGAAAAACTAGATGGAAACTGATAGGTTTGGAAATATATGGGGGAGGTGAAAGGAGTGAATGAAATAGGGGAAGAATTCTAACTGTGGAAAAACTTCATCCTCAGCAGAGATCTAATGCATTGTACCCAGTGATAAGCATTGTAGCACCAGAGCAGACTGGCCTCAGGCACCAGAGAGGAGGGGACTATGATTGATTACATTTCAGCAGTGTCATGCTCACCAYAGATATTAATAACTTCAATATCATGAAGGAAAAATATACAATAGCTGCATATATTCAGACAGTGGTTTGGGGTTTTTTTTCTGCCTTTGTCTTTCCAACATAGATTTTATTTTGTAAGCTGACTTTGTCTGAGTAGACTTCCTGCTAATTGTTTCAGAGGGTCAAGCAAAATACATTCTGTCTGAAGTACTTTTTCATCTTTATTTTTTTTCCTTCCTTAGTCTGACTGTAAGTTGTGAATGGAAAAATGAATGAACTTACCTATTCTTTGGTACTGCTGTTAATGAAGACTGATCAGCTGCCTTGAGTGACTTCTCAGCAATGCTGACAAAAACTGCATTTTCCAGGCACGAGGATGAGATCAAAATGGCTCATATGGGATCAGCAAAATTCAATTTGCCAATCCTAGGGAGGGGTGTAAGGATGCTGGGGAGATCAGAGAAGCTTTTTGGGTGAAGAAAGTACAAAGGGCTAGGGAGAAATTGTGAGTATTTCAGAGAGCAGAGGTGGAAGGAGCARACTGGGGAGAACCCGTGGTGCTGGAGAAGCGGGTCGGGAGGACACTGCCTGTTGCTGGTGCCATCAGGTGAGGAAGAATTTGGTTTGTGAAGGGAGCTGACCTAGCCACACCTTCTCCATTTGCAGAGATCCCTCCTCACTGCCATGTTAGCGGGGAGGAGTGGGAAAAGGCCTCAGCGATCATCCTCAGGGCTGAGCTTGCTTCCTTCACGGTTATGCGGGGCCAGGGGCAAATGCCGGGCAGCGCCGCACGCCCGAGCCCCGCGGCCCGGAGCGCCGCGGCCCGCCCCGGGGGAAGATCGGACAGGGGGGAACCACCGTCCTCCCGCCGATCGCTGCTGGGGCGGCTCCGCGGGCCGCAGCCGCCCGCCCCTCGGCGGCTCCCGCAGTCCCTGCGGGCAGAGCTGCGGCGGGACCGGCACCGCACCGGGCCGGCTCAGCCGCGCGGGAGCGCGCCCCGGGGGAGGCGCTGCGCGGCCGCTGCGGGGCTGCCGGTAACTGAGTCGGGTCCGCAAGTGTAGTTACCGGGAAACCGCGCCCGCTCCGCCTACCTCCATCCATCTATCTATCCATTTATCTATCCATCCGCCCGTCTGCCCGTCCGCCCGCCCGTCCGTCCGTCCGTCCGTCCGTCCGTCCGTCCGTCCATCCATCCATCCATCCATCCATCCATCCATCCATCCATCCATCCATCCATCCATCATCTCCAGCGCCTCAGCGCCCCTCACTGCTACCGCTTCTTCTTACGGAGACGCGCCCGCTGCCCACCCGTCTCCCCCCGTCTCCACTCGCTTTACTCTCACGGTGACGCGGCCGCTGCCCACCCGCCTCCCCCTCCGCTCCCGGCCTGCGGCACCGCCTGCTGCTCACCTGTGCCCGCCCCGCCCGCTCCGCTCCCCCGGCGGG